TATATATATATATTCCTGACCAAAGAAAACCTCAATTCTAATCAGGCATCAATGAGAATTGAATCTTCTACCTACAGTTAGTTTTACATGTCTAGTAACAGGAAGTTATTTAGCTTTTAGTTATTTAGTTTCTGGCTTTATACTTTCCAAACCTTACTCTTCTTCTCTGCCCACATCCTTCTGGTGCTAGGCATTGCCACCAGAAGGAACGGAAATAACTAACTGGATAGTGTAGGAAGAGTGAGATTTGAAAGGCTCATTGGATCTGAGAAATAAACTGAAGGTAAGAGACGCTTAGAATGATGAGAATCCATAAATAAAGTGACAGCCAATCCATAAGGAGATACAATACAGCATAAAAAGAGGAGAAAGATGTGGATAGACTGAGTGGAGCTTTAGTGGATGATTTAGTGCAGGTGGGTGGGGTCCGATGATGAGGGCAAGGCTAACAGTTGAGGGTGTGGCTAAAAGTTAGTGGCCTAAATGATGGATGAGTGGACTCTAGAGACCAGGGCCATGGACGTACAAGCTGTGAGTATGACCCTTCCAGGAAGGACCCGCCTGCTGAATAATGAGAAGGGTCTAACGGAGAATGAGGGGGTGGAAATAAGACGTACGGGGCCTAGAAACAACAGAGCAGGGCCCCTGGGCCAGGTCCCCATTCCTCCCAACTACCAGAGGTGAGGAAAGGAGTAGTGTGTGCCCCGCCAAGCCCCTCATGTTCTTCTTTCCCTCAATCAGAGAAGGCAGCGGTGAGGATCCAGTCATGGTGGCGTGGCAATGTAGTGCGCCGGACGCTACTGCACACAGCGCTCAGGGCCTGGGTCATCCAGGGCTGGTGGAGGTCAACTCAGGCCAAGGTGTTGGAGCAGAGACGGCCCCTGGCACTCAGACTCTACTCCTGCCAGGAGTGGGCAGTGGTGAAGGTGCAGGCCCAGGTTCGGATGTGGCAGGCCCGCAGACGCTTCCTCCAGGCCGGACAAGCCGCCTGCATCATCCAGACTCACTGGCGCTGGCATGCCAGCCAGACCCGAGGCCTGATCCAGGGCCGCTATGAGGTCAGAGCCAGGCGGATGGAGCTCGACATCGAGATCCTCATGACCTAGTGTATCATAGAGCCCAAGAGACTGGACCTCTCTCCCAATAAAGACACTTAACTAACCACAGACTTGACCTGTGGAGAGTAGGCCCCTAGAGAGGGCTCAGCCCTTTATTTTCCTGCCTTTTACCCAGAAATGTTCCCTGCTGAGGTCTAGGCCCCCTGACCCTAGGGACCTACCCTAGGTCCTTGCTCTTGATGCCATCTCTGGCTAATTACAGGGCCAGGTCAAGCTCCATACCTCAGTCAGCTGATTTCAACCTCTCCACAGCAGGAACAGGCCTTGACCACCCTTTCCTACAGCCCCTACCTAGGCATCTCCACTCAAAGTTGGGCACCGGGGAGTCTGGCTGCAGCAGGGCCAGGTGGGGATTCCACAGGCCTGTGCTGCAGGCCAATGAGGGCCAGTGTAGTGCTGGGCAGGCAGCCTGGAGGACAAGGCACCCCAACTGAGCAACAGCAGGACAGGCGCTGTGTCTCCCGGGGATGAGAGAGAGGCAGCCAGCCAGAGCCCCTGGGGAAGTCAGAGCAGGAGCTGAGGGGCAGCAGCTGTGCTCACCATCTCCCTCCCCTGGGGCTGAACAACAAGGTTCCCCCCTCTCTGCTGGACACTTCTAGGAGAACCAGGCATGGGGTGGGGAGGGAGGGATGGCTGAGGGTGAATAAATAAGCAGGGAGGGGTGGGGTGGGCAAGAGAAGGGCTTCCCTGCCACTAGAAGTCTCGGGTTTGGGCACACAGCCTCTAAATCCTACCATTCTCAGAAGCAGCTGTTCACCCCCTCCCGATCCCATCCCATGCCCTCCCCATCTCACCACCCCTCTGCATGGTTTGCCTCAGTGGGGTGATAGGCTTCTTCTTTGCTGGGTCTTGCTGGGTCTCTGCATCTGTGGCTTGAACACCGCTCAGCTCATCTCTCAGTCTCTGCTTCGTCATCCACGGTTGAGATTCCTCACTCTCACCCTGATCCCTCAGGTGCTTGAGAGCTTGAGGATCAGCTCCCACAGTGCAATGTGGACTCAGGGCAGGCGAACAGCTCGTGTGCTGTGGACTTCCCATTGCTCAGCTTCACTGTGGGAGAAGAAAATAAGGTCCCTGAATTACCATCCGAGAAGTCTGAGGTCTGTGATCTTAAGCAGGGTCTTTTGATGGCAGGCCCTGGACAAGGGGTGGGAGGACCAGTTAAGAGGTGCACAAGAGACCAGGCATCTTCATGGATCAGGCTTTCCCCAGCCCCCAAGCCTCTTTGGTGTGTGTGTGGTGGTGGGGGCAGGGGGGTCTGCCTGTCTGTCTGATGGGGGGAATCTCCAGTACAGCTGTGAAAGACATGAAGCTTCTGGGTTCAGTCTGGTGCTCATCACCTCCAGACCAGTTAGGGCTACATGATAGGGATTTTGCCTGACCACCCTTGTAGCTGCCACCCAGCAGTGTGAAATGTTAAAACCTGGAATATAGCTCAGTTGGAAAGCATACATGAGGCCTTGGGTTCAGTCTTCAACACCAAAAAAGAAACCTGGGCTAGCAAGAGTTGAAGACTCTAAACTTACCTACATAGAACATTAACATCTCTTAGGTCACTAAAAAGTACCCATGCCTGGCCCCACTCAAAAAGTCTGCTTTAAGTGGCCTGGCTTGAGGCCTTGCCATCAGGATTCTGAGGTATAGCCACAGTTTGAGAACTACTGAGTTAAGCCATCCCAGCTAGCCCATGTAGCCAGCCCCATTTAGGGATAGTTGTGTAGAATTTCAAGCTGAACACAGCAGATTCAAGGTCATCTAAGCATCCTGCTCCCTAATGAGCTAAGAATGAGAAATGAAACCAGGATCCAGAATGAGCAGCACTTGGGGTTAAAAACCTTTGGAAGCAGGAGGACATAGTACCTCCTGGTAGCTGGGGAAAAGATGAGAGGAACTTTTGAGGGGAACTAGATGGGACCTCTTGTCCCAAGTAGATGGCATCCAAAGAAGATGGCACCTTACAGGTTTGAGTAATGGCAACCCAGAGCCAGACGTAGAAGACCAAGTTTCATCCAAGCCCTTAACCACCACCTTGGGTGTCTGTCCAATGGCCAGGAGTCTTGAGAAGCCAGAGATGGCCTGAACTTGTGGGTGGGGTTAGCAGAGAGTCCCAAAGCCAAAGTGAATGTGTTCAGGAGGAAATCAGGAGAAAGGCTCCTTTTTCACAGTGACCAGTGTCAGCCAATCAGTGGAGCCACTTTCCCTCAACAGGGGTGAAGATGCAAATGGGACCCTCAAAGGCAGACCCCACAGACCCTCCCTGCTGCTCCCCACTGTCATTGAAAATTGAACTGTGTAAAGAACCCTTCCTGGGAACAAGTGCTATACATTGAGATACTAAGTGGGAATGAGGAGGGCATGCTTGAACCTTTGGAACAGCAGTGGGTCCCAGTGAACTCTAGGAGAACCTGGTGTCTGCTCTTGTCTTCCCCCTGGTGACATGCATCCCCAAGAGACACATGCCCCAGGCTCTCCCATCACACAGAAACTTACTGACTTGAAACTGCATGGCTCAGAGGCAAAAAGTAGCCAGAACCAAGGAAGGTGCTGAAGTGGTGGGTCTGAGGGCAGACTCCATGAATCCTGCACACCCAATATGGGGCTAGGTAGTAGCTGAAATCCCTAGATCCCTAGGAGTAATGACCGCAAGAAGGCTGGGCACAAGACGAGAAGACCTCACTCCCTGAGCCTCAGACAGACTATGGACACCCCCATAGACTATGGGGTCCTCACTACTTGAGCCAAGGCAGAGACCATGGGCAGCACAGACAGTAGGTTTAGGTCTGAGGGAACACAAAGATGTTTATTTGTTGAGGGTGAGCTGAAACAACATGGTGCCCGTGACAGCAGCAGGACCCACTATAAGAATCTCAGAGGGGAATGTGGGGGCAGCCATGAGACACTATTGGCCCTGAGCTGATCATTGTTGAAACCAGAAGGATTCTGCTCACTCCGCTATTTGGATATGTTTAAAGTTTCCATGACAAAAATATGAAAAAGTAATTTTGACATAAATACCAGAAGGACAAAGATTGCCTCAATAACTTCCATCATAGTGAAGAATTATATTGGGCTGCTGGAAACAGAAACCTGAGAAAAGATGGTGAACCAGAACAGAAGCTTGTTTTCTTCTCCCACAGTGAAGCTGAGCAATGGGAAGTCCGCAGCACCACAGCTGCTCGCCTGCCCTGAGTCCACACTCCTCTGTGGGAGCTGATCCTAGGCCTCGTGCTCTCAAGATCTTACCCACAGTTCCAGCCATCATGTCTATATTTCAGATAAAAAGAGGAAGGGCAAAAAAAATAGGCCAGATTCTCCTGGGATACAAACTTACAGGTCTCCGCAGTTTAACTGAGGTGTATTTCTCACTCATGCAAAGCCTGCTAAGACCTAGACAGTCTCTCCATGTGATTGCTCAGCATCCCCAGCTGCTCCACTCAGACACCATTCCATGTGGCTCTGAACTCTTGTGATTGTGCTCATCCCAGCTGGGGAAGGCAAGGGTGGAGAGAAGTGCACCAGAATTTTAGCCTTTCACTTTGAGCAGCCCCATTTGCTCTCATTTTTCCAGGTTCTGGGGATTGCACCCAGCATGCTAAGCAATCTCCCATTAAACTGCATCACCACTTCCCTCTCCCATTTTCTTGGCTCAGCTAGACAGGTAGCTGCATCTAACCTCAAGGATAAAGGAATTACAATATTTCCATATGGCTGAAAGAAGAGAACAAGAAGGTAGGGAAACAGACCAATGTCCCTCACATCAAGGTACCCTATGTAAGGTGAAAGTGAGGATAGAGATCAGGCAGGTAGACAGCAGGGTGGCCACACTGCTAATGCATTAGAGAAAAACATAAAGAAGAAAATTCAATCACTTCAGTGCAAGTATGAAATGAAGAAAAAAATAAGAAAGGTGATGGATGGAAAGCCCAAAGATGGGAATTTTTCTATATTAAATAGATGTGGGTAAAATTCATCTATTAACAGACTCTTACCTTGGGTTTTCTAAAAATCCCAACCATATGTTGTTTATAATGGAGACACCTGAAATGAAAGGAAGGGAAGCTGGAGGCTAAAACTAAAATAATATAAAGAGGTAAAGCAGGAGAGAAACTTTTATCTGCTTAAAAATATATTTAATTATCTCTCATGAGACAGAAGTAAAATGAATATAAAGAATTAATTTCCCTCAGAAAAGCTCACAGTCATGAAGAGAGAAGAAAGGCCTTTGGTGGAAAAAAGACCATTACTCTGGGAAAATGAGCACAAGAGAAGGGCATAGGATAAGGCAGAAAGGAGGAAGCTAACCAAAGAAATGCTCAGAGGGGAAAAGGACTCAGCAATCAAGGCTCCAAAGCAAGTATCTGGTTCCAGAACCAGGTCTCTTAACTACTTTCCTAACTGCCTCCTTCAGGGGGCTGGTGACTGCAGCTGTGAGAAAGCCCTGATATAATGGCATTTTTGAAAAACAACACACGCACACATGCAGATGCTAAAACATACACATATACATTTAAAGAGTTAAATGGGTATTGAAGGCAATGGGCAGTCTTTGGCACCAGGAAAAGATCTATAAAATGTACTATAAGCCAGTGGTCCCTAATGTTTTGGCACCCAGACTGGTTTTGTGGAACACAGTTTTTCCATGGAATGGAATGGGGTTGGAAGGATGGTTTCTGGATGATTCAAAGTGGCACATAACCTAGATCCCTCACATGTGTAGTTCACAGTAGAGTTTGTGCTCCTATGAGAATCTAATGCCACAGGTGATCTGGAAGGAGGCATAGCACAGGTGGTGTTATGAGTGACGGGGAGCCAGCTGTACATACAAATGAAGACTTCCTTGGGCTGGGGATATAGCTCAGTGGTTCTGCCACCTGCCTCGCAAGCACAAGTTCCTGAGTTCAATCCCCGGTACCAAAAAAAAAAAAGTTAAAAAAAAAATGAAGACTTCTTTGTTAGCTGCTCACCTGTTGTGTGGCCCAGTTCCTAACAGGCTATGGCTGAGTACTGCTCCATGGCCCAGGGGTTGGTTAGAGACCCTTAC